ACCTGGTGTGAGAGACTCTGTGAGTGTCGCGGGACACTCTCCAGTATAGCTCAATGGATCGCTGAGGTGCGCAAACCGTCACACCACGGTAAGGTCCAGTCTCTTCGTGACGGGGCAAGCTGACTATTGACTGACAGACAGTTTGTTGAAAACTCAGGCAGATTTTGAACAGGCGTTTCTCCACTATCAGTGCCGCAACGCACGTTGCCAGAGAAAGCCAGATTTATGGTAAGGTCCAGTCTCTTCGTGACGGGGCAAGCTGACTATTGAATATCTGACAGTTTGTTGAAAACTCAGGCAGATTTTGAACAGGCGTTTCTCCACTATCAGTGCCGCAACGCACGTTGCCAGAGAAAGCATGCCAGATTTATTAGCTGCACACCGGGTTTGCGCCCTTCCAAAGAGGTTTTTGCGGCATGCCTGTCTGTTTCCTGTCTTGGTGGTTTCCACAGCTACTTTTCAACTGCGAGGTTTTTCCTCTCTGTGGGAGTTCGGTTTGTGTGAACCTTTTACCATTGGCGAGCAAAAATTTCCACTTCTGCTACTAGTTGATTTTTGGATGTTCAATGATTCAAAGCAAGCATGAGACTGTTTGGTTTCTTGCGCATCTTTGTGCAGTTTGATTACAGGTCGTTTCACTCAGGCTCTGTGCGTTGGGATGCATCACCAAAAAGTATTTTTTTTGTGGCGCTCCGATGAGGCTCGTTTTCGCAGGGGACAACATCTTGAAGCTAGCCATCAACCTTTTGATTCGGTGAAGTTTATGTAGTTTGTTTGACCGCAGCCAATTTATTTCGTATTGACATGGACTCCTGGGCCACCCGCGACCAGCGTGCGCAATCGTTCCGATTGTTCTGTTGGTTACACTAGACAGTTAAGATCCCAGACGAAATGATTCACAGAATTAGATATATCACTGTGACCGTCCCTGGCCTAGCTGCCCACGGCCAATGCTTTTTTAGGAATAACCAGAGCAGAGTAAAGAGACTGTACCCAGAAAATGGATGGAGCGCCCAGCCCACGTAGTTCCTCTCAAAAGTTGTACGTATCTACAGGGGTGCAGCTGCCAACTTCAGGAATCAGTTTAATGCCATCATCAGACGTCAGCCACCTCTTGTGCTTTGATGCACATAACTTGTTTTGCGTCGGCAAGATAGATTGCAAATCGGGTAGAATTTGGATACATGAACAACCCCCTGATCTCAACCCAAAGACTCTCATTTTCTATGTCGAGATCAGGTGCCTAAAACGAGTGTGGGATTTAGCCACCTTTAGAATGAAGGTAATGTAAAAGGAGCACCGGAGCATCGAAACAGTCAAGAAAGTATTTCATTACGCAATAAACAATACATAGTTTCAAAACACTGGAGCGATGGATCTGTGGGCAAAACTTGGGCCCCGAAATCTTAGTTGTGCTTGTTGCACCTCGTGGCGTGTTGCCTTGAAGACCACCTAGGCTTACGATATCAAAAATCTCAGGAATATGTAGATTTGCAAGCATCAAGATAAATACGGGTACTTATTGATAGCAGTAAAAATGTGTTGCCGCCAGGGGTCTCGGAATCTTCAAAGAAGCGCGAAGTGAACGGGAAAAGTGTTCGCCCTTTTTCTAGCAGAAAGTGCTAGGATGGGTTTCACCACAAGTAGGCTCTGTCACCAGGGCAAGGCAAGCAAACGTCAGTACGATCACATGCGTTTTTCTCATCTAGTGCGATGAGGCAGACTATTTGTAGAGGTGCTGACCGTGATGGTATGTTTGCGCCTTACGTTTCAACTGTATGGTCAATGTCGCCTTCTTCATCTCCGCTAGTAAAATGGTGTAGGTTGATGGGAGTTTTGCAGGCGAACCATTCATACGCGAAAATGGAAAAACTGTGGCAGGAATCTTCTAGATTCAATGTCAGCAAACAGACTTTACAAAAAAAAACGATACGTCGACGGTGGCATGCTGGATCAATGGTTTGGCGTACTATGGTCGAACGAAAGGAGCCTCACTTATTGAATTGACTGTTAGCTCTCCTGATGCAACGCCGGAGGTTAGGACTACCACTTCCGTACTGCCAACGACGGGGCCCATCCAACCCTCTTTTTAGAACCATCTGGAATTATTGTGCTCAGGAGTGGTAACATGGTCCTTGCATAATTGGTTTGCCAGTCTTCTGAACGGTTGGAAGCTTTAGTGGCCGACCCCAAATGAGGGCTAAAGACGCGAGAGTGCAGCAGACGGCATCCACTGATGTGGATGGTTTGGTCAAACAAAGGAACGATCCTGGGCGACGCAGAGGTAAGTACGACCACAGGGTAGTCTATAAGGAAATTCCTTGTGGTTCACACGAGGCTGTTAGCCATGGCGCGCAACTTGGGCTTGGATGAGTTGACTCTGACGGTCCAGTAATCGTGAATAATAGTTACCTAGTTGGTTGACGTGAGGCAGTGAGTCGAGAGAGTACCTACGGAGGGACAGGTTTTAGTCAACTAAAGTTGACAGATGCAATGAAGGAAAAGTGAAGGATATGGAATTTATGTCGCAAGGAAACACCTGATATTAGAGAACACGCTCATCCATTTGCCAAAGCGATTATGGAGAAAGTTGTGGTTTGTAGGTTAGTATAGTAGTCAGATGGCAAATCAGGAGAAAAATTGACAATTAGGCTTCCGGTTGTCGTGGCCATCTTTAGGGCCTGCTCATCCCCCCGACCACCTAAAAGTGACAGATCATTTGTCCTACCTATCAGGATCGATGCCTTTGTGACAAGTCCAAGCATCACCAAGTTACTCTTACTGAAACCTGCAAACTTATGAGGAAAGTCATCACTAAAACGATACTTCCTCACATCACGCCCCCAAATTATCTTATTCAATCCTGGTCCTCTCTTACTACGAGGATACATCACAAATATCGTCAAATCCTAAATGAGTTTTCACGCGCTTTCCACAATTCTGACAACCACAAACGGTGCATTTATCTGGATTCACAAACTCTGGGGTAACAACGGCTCACTCTTGATCGATTTGAGTCGTCCTCCTCGAGTGTACACTCCAGCTCTAGAAAGTAGCGCCCTGGATACTCCTCTTGATGTTTGCACCACAGTTCCGTATGGATGAGTTATGCATCCACCTTTCATCAGAATTTTCATCAATGAACTTGATTCCGCTAAGCTGCTCCGAGCAGTTATCGGCTGCTAATCAGAAGTGCAGTGCAGGTGCCTGTATGCCAGGTTGGCTGTCTTTTCACGGTTTCACAGATTGATACACAGGATCGAGGCTTTTGCCCAAGTTTTCCGGGTCGATTCTGTGCTTGTCGGTCATTGGCTGTCGTTCACCTGAAAGGCACAGGTGAAAAAAGGGTGTAGCACTGCTCTTTATGTTCTTAGCGCGGAGCAGTATGCTTGCCAGCGCGAGGATTCGCATAAATAAATGTCTAACAGTGCTTTAAACTGGCTTCTAGAAGGAGCGTGGACAACCGTCATAGGAAGTGCATTCCACGCACCTACTACCCGAAATGAGAAAAATTTGTCTAATGGATGTGTGCTCTAAGCTTGAAGGTTTTCTTACTATGTCCCCGCCGTGTGTTTGCTGGGTAAACGGTAAAAAAAACGTTTGCCAAGCTTTGTTTGAACAGGGCATAAGTAAGAATTAGGTCCCCTCG